GTCTACAATATAGACAGTTACTCACCATGAGCAGTTTTCCAGCAGATTTTCAGCGCATTTTAGCGCCTGGCTACGCTTGCCGCACTGCCCACACTTCCAGTTTTTCTGCGTCTTCACTCTGAGATCTGAAGGCCACGCATACAGTATACTGTCCTACCTAATGGGCCTCTAAGGCTCTTGATTTGAGAGCCTTATCTAACATTTTGACACTGGAGACTCCCTCCGAACATGTTTTTCTTCTTCTTCTTCCTCCCCTTCTTCTATTTTTTTTCTTCTTCTACAATATAGTCAACTACTGATCATGAACAGTTTTCTAGCAGAAGTTAAGCGCACTTTAACGCCTGTTCCTGACTCTGCTAGCGCCGCGACTGTTTGCAAATTGGCTGAGCATCTGAGTACGACGTACGACTTTGCCAAGCCACCACTTGCTGCACTACACGCACCTCCAGTTTTTTCTTCGTCTTCACTCTCAGATCTGAAGGCCACGCTTGCGCAGCTTATCATGTAGGAAGACTATCTTCAAAAGCCAGCAGCCTCTTCATCTGAAAGCCCGCCGATGGAAATTATGCCAGCATTTATTGGAAGATATTAAATAAATCGATATCCACTAAAATAAGAGAAACTACGAGACACTCCGGCATCTAACATACACGCAAAAAATCTACTCCGATAATCTCTACTCTAAACCCAATAGCGTCGTAGATTGCCCAAATCATTACGAGTAGTCATTCTACTTATACTTTCTTAAAAACATTTTTATTACATTCTGTTCTTTCTGAATTTCGTGCATTCATCTTCCAAAACCCTTATCGTAAGCCTTGTTCCAAGCCTACAATAACATACTTCCCTGTGTACCATCAGTAAGCATGTCATAGCCCTCACAGGTTGCAACTTCGTACCACTGCAGGTACATTTTCTGAAACAGGTAAGCCTTTGCTTAAAATAAAAGTGCAAAAGATGCACCATCTCATGAAATATGTTCGATAATGTAATACAAGTCATTTTACGGGATTACAGCACACGCGGCGTGCCCCCAGATTATTATAACAGTAACGTAAGAACCATAAGTAACTACAATATCAGAGTTTGGTTGAGAAATTACTGTTTACTACCAAAAAAGCATTTCATTTTCACAACAATCTGCGAACATAGGTAATGGCAACATAAAAAGTCGCTGGTCCAATGTGAAATATAAATACGCCTAAGGCATGGGGGTGGAAATGAATGGCGAGTTTACCCAGAATAAGTACAAGCGCAACACGTTTATATATTAAATTGCTTCCAACAATCAAACTTGCAATAAATGTGTCAGAAATGTATTTGGTCACCTCAACTACAGTTTTTTTTCCAATGGGGATACTTTGTAAAAGCATTGCGTTTTTAATGCACAAAAAAATTATTTCGTGCTTTCTATCAATTTATATTGACAACTGCAAAAAGATACTCTGGTAGTCACATCTTGGCTGCTGAGCAGAATAAAAGTAGATTGAAGGCCACACACAGATAGGCTGTCTGTTTACTAAGTAGTTAGATTACGGTTGTATTTATAATCAAATGCATACCATCTTGTGTATATTAAAAGAAACTTCGTTTGTCACAATTTTAAAAAATACTTCAAGTGTTCGGGCTCGACAAGAGGCAAACTGTTTTCGAAATTCTGCTGAGCACTTTACAAATTTCAATATATTGCTTTGTTTGTCCAAAATACCGATTTTGTTCAGCCTATTTACCGAAAACTTTGAAATAAGAAATATCTTAAAACCATTTGCCTAATTAATGAGTTCTTAAACATTCCTCTTTAGATAGCTGCCTGTGTCACATCATTGCTGAGAAAAATGAATTTCCACCACAAAAGCCGAGAATGAATACATCTTAGATTAATTAAAAGTGTAAAAATGTTACCTCCTCAATAAGCGCTTTAGTTAGATATTTGGAAGTGCGGTCCCTTTTTGTAGATAAAGTTAAGATCAAAATTGAATATTTAGACCGGTTGTTTGACTTTCGTAAAAGTAAGAGGAAAAACGTCTACCGGGAATGAAAGAAGTTGCTTTTCTATTTAACCCAGAACAGTTTTAAATACGTTCCTGCACTTCAGGCTGTCGTTCTTTGATTTAACTTACGCAACGAAGTTACCCAAAATATCCTCCTATATTCAAAACATGATAATATTTTGCCTGATTTGTTTCAAGTGTTTATATGTATTGATTTTCTTCTATATTTTGACAACATTTGGATGGCGTTAGTTAACAATGTTAATTAGAAAACATATATTATTCCGTGACCTTCATGTAGAGTCAAATAGACCTAATAATTTCGGCGTACTTAAATACATTTTGGTTTCTTGTAAGTGTATTACCTATCTCTAGTGCACAAAACGTAACATATTTGTAGGGCAAATATTTGTTGACTAAATTTATCGATATTTTCTTGACTATAGTGCCGTGTCTCGTACGCACACTAACCTCAATTTCGTGAACGCAAACCAAAATATTCCGTTTTGCAAACAGATATAATAAGAATGTTCCTGCTATTCGTGAATGTTCTTTTATAGGACAACATCAACAAACAAGAATTCCTTTTTCCGCAGCGTTTAAGAGAGTAGAAAAATCCTTGGTTATCAAAAAACGCCGAATTTCGCCCATTTCCGCCTATATTGTCTCCCCGTATACTGATCTGAACGGAAGACTATCCTAGTAAACAGCATTTCGCGCATCAAGTCAACCCAAATAACTAAACGAACAACCTAAAATATGTTTTAAATCCCCTAATTCCCAACCTTTCGTCAGATATGTAGTCAGCTGCATATGTACTTCGGTAAGGGTTCAGTATGAATATCTCAATTATAGCAAACATAGCACGCGTTCGTGTAGTAAGGGGACCGTTGTCAATAGAGGTTGTAGGGGTGGGGCATATCAAAGGAAAGGAAAATTATTCATAAGGTTATAACTTAAAATATAAGGAGCACACAGTTAAATTGTCTAGTGGTTAGCAACAAAATGCACGCAATAATTTAAATGATAAATATGACAAATGGGTTACAGGTACTGCATGAACCACAGGAGGGATAAGTAGGACGACGAACTATCCATGCCAGTCACGGAAAATCAATTTTCAGTCTGCTCACAAAAGGCCGTCTGGTGTGAACAGTGAGGAGTCAACCCCGGAAATCGGAAGTCGGAAAACTTTCTTCGGAGATCAAAAAAAACTAAAATTATGTTAGCAGAAATCAAAGACCTGCTGTTTACATATAAGTATTCCTTCGCAAAAGTATGGCACCACAACCCGTAGTTAGAGGATGGTTTCAACAATCTCGTGAAATAGGTATGCCGGCAGTTTAATATTGCGGGTTCCGTTCAACTTCCATTCCGCTTGCACGAATCCATCCCATTGGGTTGATTCGATAGAAACTTCATCTCCCAGCTTCACGTCCTCTCGCTCAAAGTCCGCAATGGCTCTCCACCAGCGCTTATGTGTGAATTGGGCTGAATACATCTCATCCACTGACTGGACGTGGAATGCGGCATCATCATTAGTCGGTTACGTCGTCAATAAAAGTTCATAGGCAAG